CTGACGCCTGCTGTATATTTGGAGTTTGCGTGTTCTCCCTGTGGTCACGTGGATTTTTCTCCGGGTCCTCTGGTTTTTCCCTCCACATTTAGCTGCTGTAGATTTCGCCGTGATGAGCCACTCTGTTGAGCTATCATTTATGGCCAGGTCGCTTCTGACAAAAGAGCTGTCTAGCTTAGTGGGCCTTACCTGGTCAAATTAAATCAAAACAATTTTTTGTTGATTATTATATTATTGTTGCGAGTGCAATCACCATAATTACACGCCGTCTACTTCAAAGTGAAGGCGAAAGATCCCCTGACGTCATTCTCAAGAGTGGGCCATTTGGTGCACAAGTTCTAAAATTACGCGCACTTTACTCATTTTGGAGTACTGTGGTGCCACAGCAACGAAGCCGCTCCGTCGGAGCCGCGCCTGCGGCAGTGGTGCTGCAGCAGCGGGGTCGCCCGGCTTCCATCGCGGCGCTTCCCCCACCACCCCCCACATGAAGACACACACACACCCCCACATAGAGCCCCCACATGAACACACACACACACACCCCACATAGAGCCACGGGGGGAGGTCACCTGGCCGACAGGTTTTCACCCGGAAGCCCTCTCATGGGACCAATCTTCACGATTTCCTGCGACCAGGGAATTGGGCGACCTCCCCCGAGGCTAGCTCGCACCGCGGCGCCGTGACCTGGATGGTGGTTGCATGGTCACGACGGGGCTGCTCAGCCGCCCCGGATAGAGGGGCACACTCGACACGGGTCAGCAGGCAGGTAGGGGGTGGGGCGGAGTAACGAGCGGCGGAAAAACAGGGCGGCCCTCTGATTGGCAGGACGAATGCGCTTGTTTAAAGAATAAAAGCGGACGTCGGAGAGAGCACCGATCCGATTATAGAGGAGCGGGAAATCCGAGGCTCCTGACTGGACGAGAGGCCAGCGGATTAGCGGCATGTTATCTTTGATGTAGGGACAATAAAAAGGGCAGGTAAGGTAGGGGCAGGCAGTCGTGTTCTTCTGGGGTCAAGGATCGGAGGAGTCATCGTGCCTGCCACTGGATCGTCCGTGAGACGAGTCGCAGTGCAGCCAGGCCCCGTTCCCAGCAAAGACTACGTGCAGCCTCGCCTTTCCACGGCTTCCTGCACCTCGGAATTGAACCGTGAGTATGCAGGAGAGAGGTGAGATTAAGGGGATTATCCTTAGGGAGAGTGATTAGCGAGAGACGAGACAGACTGAGACCTAGACCACCGGGAGATAGGTTAGACCTGCCCTGCTGGCCCACACTGACACGGGTAGTTTAGCTTCGTTATTCGCGGAGAATAAATCGCCAGTCGTCAATAAACCTTGTCGTGTCGTCCCTGCGAGTGCGGAGAGGAGTGCATGGTACTGTGAGCCTTCTCGTTGTGGTATCCTGTGTTCACGCACGAGCGTATATTTTACCCGCGTGTGTGCGCTCGCCGCTGCGTGTAGCTCGTAGTTAACGTGTACGCGAGGTAGATGGGCATCGTGCATGCGAGATCACCCGTGCCGCCTCTGCTTAACGTGTGCGCGAGATAGACGGGCGGCGTGCGCGTGAGATTAGCGGTGTAGCTCGTGGTTAGCGTGTGCGAGAGGTGCACGGGCGGCGTACCCGCGAGGTTGTTCACACAGCCCTTTAAACCAGCTCAGGGGCACCTCCTCCAATCGGCTGCGCGCGTACGAGTGACGTCTCCGCCCTCCGACCCCTGACCCCGGGTCCCGCGCGTGCGATTGGTGCGCGGCGCCGGGCAGGTAGCCGCGCCGAAGTTTGGTGGCTACGTGCCAGCCCGAATCATGCCCCGAGGGGCCGCAGCGAAGGGGGGGGGGGGGAGTCGGTGAGCAGTAACCCTCCCCAGGACACGGAAGAGCGGAGCAGTGGATCCCACGTGAGCGAGGGGCCGGGGGCCAGCCTCCCCGACAGTACACAGCAGCAGCAGTCATCGGTCCTCTCCCGGAAGACTAAGGCACCAGGTCACTCACGCAAATGAGACTGTCCTGGCCTCTTGAGTTCTGATCTAGTTAAAGAAAATAAACTTGAAGCTTAAACCTAAACTGGAGACAAGGAGTGATATCATTAAATGCCAGCGCACGGTTTTTGGAAGATGACATCACTGGACTACTTGAGGTCCCTTCATTTGCCTCTTATTCACACTTCTCAAATGCACCTTCCATTCTCAAATGCCCTGCTGTAGAGGCGCTCTTCTCACAGCAGTGACAGCGATATTTTAAACATCAGAGCTTAAATTTCAACAAATTTACGTGACCCGTCAAATTCAAAACATTGCGCCTTTTGTGCAGTCATTGGTATCGGGGATGATTCCACAAACTCACCACGTCTATTATGAACATATCTCTCTCTCTCTCAACCACCGCAGCGATATGCAAGTGAAGCTTGCAGAGACATTGTGTTTGTTAAATATTTCCCCAAAATGATACCCGCCATTTGTAACTCTAGCCATCAATTCGATCACCATATAAAGATCACCGCGCGCTTACGAGTAAACCACCCGGAATTCACCGGATCTCGCCAGATCTCGGAAGATTCGCGGGGCTGAGCCTGGATGGGTGATTGCATGGGCGACCACATTGCACAACGAGGTGCTACAGGCTGCGGGTTCTCCGTGGTGGGCAGCAGAGGGAAGAGCGGCACGATCCGTTGTCGTCACTGCGCCTGTGTGACGCCACGTCCACACGCACCGCATTCAAAGCCAGCATTGGCCAGCGTGGTGAAGTATGGTCAAAGCACCCCCCACCACGAGCCATGCGAGAGGCGAGGAGGCCCCTTCAACCGCGAGTGGGTTAATAACGCGCGGGAAAGGCCGCGTTACGTGTACATCTACGGCTCCCAGCTCTTTCTCTCTTTACCGAGCTGAAACCGCTAAATGGAAGAAAAAAACGTGACTCCTTACAATCAGAAGCGTTCATCTTCCGAAACTCATTTAACAGCAGTTGAATAAAAAATACAAACACGTCTTGTGAAAAATAAATACCTTGCCCGACGTGGGCGTCAAGACTCAGCAGGAGATGAGAGCACTGAGCCGTCAACGCTGAGGACTTGGGTTTGAATCCGGGCGGTAATCAATTACACACGGCTTGTGCACCAGATCTTATTTATTCACGATGTACTTACAAAAAAATCCGCAGACTACCTGCTGGATCTCCTCTCTGTTTCAAAGAACAAATTTGACCTCAGGTCTTCGCTCATTTACCAGCTTCACATTCCCTATTGCCGTACAAAAACCGGAGGAAGGGCCTTTGCTATTGATGCCCCCAGGGTCTGGAATGCTATTGCCAATAAACTGCAACTTGAATCACTACCTATGAGATATTCACTCAAAACTGCTCTAGAAGAGTTGTACACCCCTAGCTGCCACTGCTACTCAGTGGCCTAAAATAAAATAAAATGCTTCGCTCCGGATGACCGCTGCAAAGTATTATCTGTATTTTGATTTAGTGTGCTGATCTTAAAGGTGCATTGAAAAATGTGATACTCCGACTGATGCTCCTGTTGTTGTGGAGTGACTCATGCAAGCCAGCTATGGCTCTAGGGTTTTGTGTTACATGTTATTTATGTAGTTTATTGTTAAAAATTCGGTCACAGTCCCTATGATCACTGTTACATTGCATTTATGGCTTTATTTTGGTGATTTCGAAAAAAAATTGGTTTGGCCATGTTTTTGTTTATTGTAGTACGGAGTTAGACTGATGGCCTTAATCTTAGTTGTCTTGTGGCTGTTGTTGTTTGACTTGCATCCCATTGGGATTTTTGCACACAGCGTTGGTGTACGGTGCTATTTCAGGAATATTTTGATGTTTTTTTCCTGGATTTTCTGTTTGCACAGTCACATAGTCACTTTAAGATGTTTTCTTGTTCATGTTTTTGTATTTTGTTTGTTGCGGTTGCACCCGATTCAAGAGCCGAACGGCTCACAGGGCTATACCGAATAAATGAAACTAAATGGAACACGCTCAGAGCGTAGCAAGCACGTGTTCTCTCTCACCCTTATTTCCACACGTGAATGGGGTGGAAGCAGTGGTCGGCGCACTGCACCACCACACCCCAGCCACCGCAGTTCGATTCCCGGACACGACGAACATCGGTGACGAGCGAGATACTGAACTGGTCCCACGCCTCAACGCTTTCACCAACTCACCCTACCGCACTGATGACCACCCTGGTGAAGTATGGTCAACCCCTCCTCCTTGAGCGAAACTGCGTGTGGGGGGAGGCATTCATCAAGCAGTGGGATTGACTAATCGCGACGTCGCACTAACAAACAAGCACGCGGCCCGAATAATTACGCACGTGGCCGTGCATTAGATAATTGCTTTTTTTTGGGGGGGGGGGGCGTAGAGGGGGGGGGGGTCTGATGATTTATACACGAATGAGAGATAAAGCTTTTAATAAAAAGCGAGAATAAAGGTCAGGTGCAGAGAGGGGCGGGAGAGATGGTGGGTGGGCTGAGATGGTGGGTGGGCCGCGTCTGGGGGAAGACGAGCGGAGAGTGGCTTCTACGAGATTAGGCATTCCGCTTCCACAAAGTGCGTCACGATAACGCGTTATTGCTCGTGTCGTGATCAGATTGTTGCCTCGCTGAGGTTGGTGGCGAGCAATGGGATGGGAGGGGGTGGGGCGGCGAGTGGTGGGGAGGGGGCTGTGGGGGTTAGGGAGGGAGGGGGCTGTGGGGGTTAGGGAGGGAGGGGGCTGTGGGGGTTAGGGAGGGAGGGGGCTGTGGGGGTTAAGGAGGGAGGGGGTTGTGGGGGTTAAGGAGGGAGGGAGGAGAATGTGGGGGTTAGGGAGGGAGGGGGCTGTATTGGGAGCTGTTGTTTCGTGGTATCTCGCTGACAGCCACGAGCGCCTCGCCTCTCCTCCTCCTCCTCTTCGCGTGAATGAAGGGCGAGGAAGAAGGGGGCAGATGAACAACACGGAGCAGGCTGCTTGACCGGCGGGTGGACGGGCAAGACAGGGGTGGGTGGGGGGTTAGATGCGGGAGCTGGGGGTGGGGTGAATTGACTTTGGGCTGCCGGTTATATTTGGGGACCATAAGTCATTTGTGGCCAGTGTCAATTGACTCCTGGAGCCACGCGCGGTCCCAAGGGTCGCGGATGCGTAGACAGGAGTCTATGTTGTGGACATCTCCGGACGTATTTTGTCCAGCACCTTCCCCTTGGACGGTCTAGTTCACCCCCCCACCCCACCCCCTACGTTATCATCAGTCATTAACACGACATTGGTCGTGAAGTCTTCCCGAAAATATAAAACGGGTCGACTCAGGGCTCCGCTGAAGTCCTTTCCAGGCTGCGGAAATGGGGTGTTGAGATTTATTATTGTTTTAAAAATACAAAATTGTGAGCAGGGCAGGGGGTAGTTAGCAACGGGCCAGTATATTACCCTGTGAACTTGTTGCAGGAACAGATCAGCAGCCGCCTGACCGAAGCACACACGCGCGTCAAGTGGCGCCGTTTAAAGGTACGTGACGATACTTGCCAAGCTGAATTCAGTACCGATCGTGCAACAAATCGTACAGTTGATAATATACCGCAACCATTGTTCACTCTTATAAGATGTTTTTTTTTAAAAAAAATAAGGATCATCTCGACTCTTTAGAGGTATTTTCGGGAAAGCTGCGAGGCACGCTGGGAGGCAGTAAGGATTATCGGCGTAAGGCACTACCGCTCGAGAGTACTGTACAAAGTCGGCATATCCACAATCATTCTCAACGATTTTACTCTACATTGTATTCCTATAATGCTATGAGCAGATTTGTAACAACAACGACTAAAAAAAGGTGCAGTATAATGCGAGCAAATTACGGATGTGGAGTGGCCAAAACAGGTCCCGGAGCATCTCTGCGGACTATTTTGGCTGACATTAAGGCACTGGTTTTATAGGTCTGCAAGACTTAGACTGTTGGGGCAAGTGCTGTTAGCGAGCACCTATGAAGGGCAGGAACCGTACACGGGGGGTTAAGGGGCCCCAGCACCACGCCCGACCACCTTTGCCTCCCCGATTGGCGCTGTTTGCACACCACACCAGCTACTAATTTGAGGCTGAGTGGACCTAGGAGATGTCCAGAACTGATTCAAATAATCGTCACTGGTTTCTAGCCGTAAGCGGGAATCGAACTCGGGTGGCGGGGCTCGCAGCGCGCCGCGCTCACCGCTCCACCACACGGATAACGCAGTCCCTGAGGTCCGTATCCACAGCTTTATACCGTCCATTGTCCACTTGCACCTGAAAGATGAACGCGTCACGTCACGCCGCCGCTGTGTTCGAGCGTCGTGACTGCCTGCAAGGTAGGTCTCCATAGGCCAGCCCCTTTTGCCGCTCCACTGCTGGATGACGGCATCCCTCCGACGTGCATGGTTGTGACCACGCCTCGTGCGGGTTGGGGAATGCAGGTAACCGATATGCGATGGGGCGAAGGGGTGGGGGCATAGAAGTACAGGGCAACAATGGATTTAGCTGCATTGCCCTCTGCTGGCCACAACGTAGGCCCACAGTCTCCGCCGATGACAACGTGTTTGTACATACTCTTTGGTTCTATTCGGTAAAGTCACGTAGGTAAATAATAAAACAACAATAATCATGACGTTTCGGCCACAACACAAGCGGCCTTCATCAGGTGAAGGGACGAGACTGTCTGGAGGACAGCGCTGTGTTTGTACATGTCGGTCACTCATTCAAGGACTACCCAAAGGGCTGAGCTGCTTAAAAGCTTGCGACTTTTTGCGTATCCAGCGTGATTTGGGCGCCACGGTAGCGAGATGTTAACTACCTCGCCTGGTGTACAGGAGGTCGTGGGCTCGATCCCGCCCCTGACGTCTGCTGCTGCTGCTGTGTATTCCGAGTTTGCGTGACTCTCTCACGGTGGTCGCGTGGATTTTTTTTCTCCGGGTCGTCCGTGTTTTCCCCTCCACATTCAGAATCAACATCACGCGCTTACATTGTTTGGCTGCAATAAATGTCTCCATGATAGGGAGAGTCATCTTCGTTGAGGTATGATTTGTGGCCAGATTGCTTCTGAAAGGAAGGCTTTATAGCCGAGTGGTGAAGTAAAACATTGTTTAGTTTAAATCGTTGAAATAACAGTCAAGGTACTGAAGGAGGCTTGTTTCAGTATGCAGTGCTCTCTCGTACTGTATATATGAGTTCCTCTATAGTACATGCACAGAAGACCACGGTGAAAATCTACCAATCCACACACTTGGCGCCGATGTATGTGTGTGTTTGAACAATATGCGGATGTTTCGATGCATCGCGTGTCTGCGGGTATCTTTGTTCGTGTACGTGGGTCACAGGATAGCGCCCATCTGCTACTCGCTCCTGGCGGCCTGAGTTCGATCGAGCAGTTGATTGTCACAAAGGCCCGACATCATGCACGTGTCGTCCATCCCACCGATGCGCGGACTGTCGTTCAGCCTATGAAGGGGCTTCGGTGGCTATTATGCAACTTAATTCTCTTCTGTCATTTTGTTCAACGCCGAGCCATGCCCTGACTTGCCAGGAGAAGGCGGGTTACAGCACACAGCGGACAAATGTCAACCTTCACTTTTTGATTTCGAGTGCTCTTCCCTTACACGATTGGGTCTTCTCGTCGTGCTCGGGTATACAGGTCCCGCATGTTCAAACACTCATGAATTGGCTGAAGGCATCTTAATGTATTGACGACTACCGGCTCATTGCCTGGCTGACTTCCACCTTTTCTGTGCTTACCTCGGCCGATCGCGAGACGCAAAATGAATGAAGGACGCCGTCCATAATAAAACATTAGCCACGAGTAATGTTTACCATTAGGGCAATTTTAACCACGCTGCGTGTGCAACTGTTGACATACCGTACGTTTTAAAAAGATAGCCTCGTGTAGCTTTTGATAAGTGTGCAATGCCTACTCTCTTTACAAAGACCACAGACTGATTTTGCTGGCCCTCTAGAAAGTACGCAACTTGTGCTAATATTCACTTATGTCATTTGGTACAAAAAACATCTGCCTCTTACAAGCAAGTAGTCACTGGTCTAGGGGGTGGGGGGGGGGGATTTGCTACCCCTCTTACCCTCCCCCCATCCCCTTGTAGGAAAGTTTATCCCTCGGGCTGTGTTTGCAAGCGGACGGTTATACAAGTGACGCAAAACCACGCAGAATCGTTGATTCTGTGAAAGCGTTCGCAGCACGTGTTTGAATCCAAAAGTGTTTCGTTTGCAGCAGACGTATGCAAACCAAAAAAAAAGTCAGCCACACGGATGGGCATCTCCCAGGGCCAGACGCGTATGCATAATATATTTTTAAATACTGTAGTCTTACTGACTGTCGGTTGTGATCTCCAAGTTGGGTGAAATTGTTTGATCAATTTGACCAGTTTTTAAGACGCAAACTCCCTTATGAGCAACACGATACCTTCATCCATAAAACTATAACTTCATCCTGCAGTTTCGTTTATGTTCACGTTTCCGTGGTCATAACTAATGCACAAGCGCTTTCATCGTTTGTTGGAAAATGTAAACAAATATATACAAAATAATGCACATAAAATGGCTAAGAGTCACTCAAAGTAATATAGGCCAGTCCACATCATGGTAAACCCACATCAGCTTACTGTCCATGAAGTAATAATGTATTATTATTGTTATTAGGTAGTCACTGGAGCAATGTACTGTTCTTCATGTTTTTTGTTTATTCTGAAAGTGCAGAAGCACCGAGAAAACGCGCCGATGGTTTCTGTGGGAGGAAAGACAGAAAACATGCGAGGGGAGAGGGGAACTTTTGGTCGCATGAACATTGTCTAGGTGCTTGAACATGTCTAGGTGCTTGAACATTGTCTAAGTGATTGAACATGTCTAGGTGCTTCAACATTGTCTAGGTGATTGAACATTGTCTAGGTGCTTCATTGCAGTCACGAAAGCTTTAAATCGAAATTTAACCGCCTCTACGGGGAGGGATTCCACACATCCTTAAGATCATTCAACAGACTTCGGGATAAGAAGGCTCAACTAATCGAGTCTCTCACCTTTCTGAAGAGATGCCGCGACTCTAAGGTAATACCAACCGCATTTACACTAACCTCTGCTGTTGCAACTTCTCTCAATGCAAAACGAATTCTAGCTAGAACTAGCTTCGCTCTTATCTCGGAAAAAATCAAACTTACACGCACCGAACTCGATCAGTTAGACAAGACACTCTACAAATCACACTTAAAATTGACAGCAACAATGTCTACATCGGATTTGGAACATGTAGACAATATGACTACCTCTTCGGCTGCCACTATGTCGAACAAATGTAGGGACAATTTGATTTCCAAATTCAATCACCTCTCCAGCAAAAAATCGGATCCACACACCGAAAAGATAGACGTCAACAAAGTCGTAATTAATCGCAGTAACAGTTCCATTTCTGATGGTCTGAAATCCGTTTTAGCTAAAGGTCTAAACTTTGCTGTCACACCGAGACACTTACCGGTTAATGATATCATTGCCCATGTCGACGTTGCACTCAAGGGCTTGAGTCACATCTCTGCAGACGTAGCAAGATCTGAAATCGCTGCAACCCTCAAAAACGCTAAGTTGCCACCTAGCAACATCAGCAAAGACGAACGTTTTGAATTATCTCAATTGAAAAAGAGGGATGATATTGTCGTTCTCTCAGCCGACAAAGGCAATGCCACTGTCATCATGGACAAAACAGAATATAACAACAAAATTCAAGAACTAGGTTTCTTGAACATTGTCTAAGTGATTGAACATGTCTAGGTGCTTCAACATTGTCTAGGTGATTGAACATTGTCTAGGTGCTTCATTGCAGTCACGAAAGCTTTAAATCGAAATTTAACCGCCTCTACGGGGAGGGATTCCACACATCCTTAAGATCATTCAACAGACTTCGGGATAAGAAGGCTCAACTAATCGAGTCTCTCACCTTTCTGAAGAGATGCCGCGACTCTAAGGTAATACCAACCGCATTTACACTAACCTCTGCTGTTGCAACTTCTCTCAATGCAAAACGAATTCTAGCTAGAACTAGCTTCGCTCTTATCTCGGAAAAAATCAAACTTACACGCACCGAACTCGATCAGTTAGACAAGACACTCTACAAATCACACTTAAAATTGACAGCAACAATGTCTACATCGGATTGGGAACATGTAGACAATATGACTACCTCTTCGGCTGCCACTATGTCGAACAAATGTAGGGACAATTTGATTTCCAAATTCAATCACCTCTCCAGCAAAAAATCGGATCCACACACCGAAAAGATAGACGTCAACAAAGTCGTAATCAATCGCAGTAACAGTTCCATTTCTGATGGTCTGAAATCCGTTTTAGCTAAAGGTCTAAACTTTGCTGTCACACCGAGACACTTACCGGTTAATGATATCATTGCCCATGTCGACGTTGCACTCAAGGGCTTGAGTCACATCTCTGCAGACGTAGCAAGATCTGAAATCGCTGCAACCCTCAAAAACGCTAAG